TCCCTACACCTCAATCTCTGCTTAAAAATAAATAATACATTCCTGCACGTGCCTGTAATCCCAGCTACTCGGAAGACTGAGGCAGAATTGCGTGAACCCGGGAGGCGGAGGTTGCACTGAGCCGAGATCGTGCCACTGCACTCCAGCCTGAGCGACAGGGCGAGACTCCACCTCAAAAATAAATAAATAAATAAATAATATATTCCTTTGTTAAGGGAAAAAAAGTGATTTAAGATTTCTAAAGCCTCTGAGCCTCTTAGAGTGAGGTGTTCCTAAGAAACAGTGTGGGGGTTCCACAAAAATGAAGTTAAAACCCGAACCCATATGGAAACAAAACCTAGCTGTGCAGAAGGGGTGTGACAACAAGCTAGGAGTTGAATGCCTCCTCTGCCACCTTGGGAAGGTGAGACAGTAGGATCACGGCCCACAAGTTTGAGGCTGCAATGAGCATGCCATAGCACTCCAGCCTGGGCAACATAGCAAGACCTGAGCTGTAAAAATAAAGTACTTCCATCTCATAAACGCTGACTCTCGACACAATTCCAGTTTACCCTTTATCTCCCTACCTAAGCCCTTCTCTGACAATCACTGGCCAGAGTTAGGGAAGAGACATCCCTAACTTGGTAGTGACCCCAGCTGATACTCCCTTCGGAATTTTCAGGTCTCAAAACTATTTAAAAATCCATGTATGTCTCAAATGGCTGGGGGATGGACAGCCTTTCTTTAGGAGTCTCAGAAGTATATAATGTGGCAAAGATAATATGTTATGAGTCCAACATCCATCTATCTCTTCTTCCTGATGCATATTATATTCCTGGGGCTCCTTTGCATTAAGAGGGAGCCTTGTAACTAGGTTCTTACCAACAGAATATGAATAGAAGTGTGTGCTGCTTCTAGAGCTGGCCCATACATCTGCCAAGCAATCCTTCAAGTTCTGCTCAACTCACTAAAATGGTAATGCCCAACGCAACCTTGGAAGCCATAGTGAAGTTGGCATCAGCCTCATCCCTAAACATCTTCATGGAGTATCCCACTCCTACTTTCTCAACCTGAAACGACCTGGATGTTACATGAGTGAGCAGGGGGGAAAAACATGTCTATCTGGAGTCTGCTTTAGCAGTTTAGTCTACCCTAACTAATATGGGTACTAAATGTCAATTCCATGAAAGCAGACCTTGCTTCTGGAGCTGCACTCAGGGCTTCAGGTGCACAGAACTGGGTTATCACAGGCCTGAGTTCATGACACACGATCACTTTCATCCATGCAAAGCCCTCTTTGCTTCCCTTTCCCTGCTTCATTCTCCATTCTAGTCTCATTCTGTTCCCTCCCACAGACCTATTCTACTGATTAAGGTATATATCCTCCTTATAAAATAATATCATTTCATGTGTTTAATTTACATAGCTGATTTTTGCTTTAAATATCATTGTTCCTCATTTTTTTTCACTTGAAGTCTATCATTTCACTAAATTCCTAACAGCTTGCATTTGACTTAAAAAAAATACTCCATTATATGTATATACCACATTTTACTTATCAATTTGCTTAGTGATGGACATCTAAGTTTTTTCCAAATTCTTGCCACCCAAACTATACATAGAAAAACATCCTTGTATCTACTCCTCAAGGATTTATGCAAATTTCTCTGAAGGATATAGCCAGGAGTGGAACTACTTTGAAGTATGTACATATTTAAAGTATTAGTTATCTGTTCCTGTGTAACAATTGTTATGCTTATAACTGTACCTGCTGTTGCTTACCCACCCTAAATGCAAATTTCCTTCCCTAAATGCTTGAGCAGCTTAAAACAATAACAACTCACAGAATGAGGAAAGTATTTGCATATCTAGTAAAGGACTTATAACCAAGATATATATAAAGAACCCTTTACGTAAGAGAGTGCCTGTGTATGTGTATATATAACCAATAACCCAAATGAAAAACGGGCAAAGGGTTTGAATAAAGATTTCTCCAAAAGATATATAAAGATGCTCAACATCACCAGCCACCCTAGGAAAGTGCAAATCAAAACCATAATGAGATATACCACCTCCCACCCACTAGGATGGCTATAATCAAAAAGACAAATAATAAGTGTTGGCAAGCATGTGGAGAACTTGGAACGCCCATACATTTCTTTGGAATAAGTTTGGCAGTGCCTCAAAAAGTTAAAGATGGAGTTACATATGACCCAGCAATTTCACTCCTAGGAATAGAAAAAGGAAAATATACATCCATACAAAAACTTATACATGAATTTTCACAGCAGCATTATTCATAATACCCAAAAAGTGGAAACAACTTGAATGTTCATCAAATGACACATAAATAAAATGTGGTATATCCGTGCAAGGGAATATTATTCAGCCTTAAAAAGGAATGAAGTGCTGATATATATTACAACATGGATGAACCTTGAAAACATTATGCTAAGCACAAAAAGCCAGACACAAAAGGCCAAATATTATATGAGAGTCCCATTCATATCTTACTATGAAAGTCCAGAACGGGCAAACTATACAGGCAGAAAGTAGGTTAGTGTTTGCCTAAGGCTGGAAAAGTTAGGGGAAAGTGGGGAGTGACTGCTAATGGGTACAAGGTTTCTTGTACTCACAAGATGATAAAAATGTTTTAAAATTGTGGTGATGGTTGCACAACTCTGTGATATATTACAAGCCACTGACTGAATCATACACCTTAAGTGGATGAATTGTGTAGTATATAAGTTGTATTTCAATAAAGCTGTTTTTAAAAAATACTAAACATGGCCAGGCGCAGTGGCTCATGCCTATAATCCCAGCACTCTGGGAGGCTGAGGTGGGCGGATCACAAGGTCAGGAGTTCAAGACCAGCCTGGCCAACATAGTGAAACCCCACCTCTACTAAAAACACAAAAATTAGCCAGGCATAGTGGTGCACACCTGTAGTCCCAGCTACTCAGGAGGCTAAGGCAGGAGAATTACTTGAACCCGGGAGGCAGAGGCTGTGGTGAGCCAAGATCATGCCACTGAACTCCAGCCTGGGCAACACAGTGAGACTCCATCTCAAATAAATAAATAAATAACTACTAAACATTTATTATCTCAGAGTTTCTTTGGCTCAAGAATCTGGAGCTGGGTGTTCTGGGTCAGGATCTCTTACGAGGTCGATCAGGGCTGTAAGCCTGACAGCGGGCTTGAGTAGAGCTGGCGGATGCACTTCCAAGGTGATTCACTCCTACAGTCAGCAATTTGGTGGTGGCTGTCGGTGAGGCCTCAGTGCCTCTCTACCTGGGCCTCTCCAGAGGGCTGCTTGAGTGTCCTCATGATATGGAACCTGGCATCCTCCAGAGCAAGGATCCAAAATAGCACAAGGCAGATGTTTTAATACCTTTTATGACCTACCTTCCTAAGTCACACATTTCTAGTACATCCTATTGGTTACACAGGTCAACCTTATTTATTGTGGGAGGGGACTATACGAGGGCTTATATACCACAGGGCAGAGATCATTAGGGGCCATCTCGGAAGCTGGCTACGCCACTTGATGATAATGACGGTGATAATAACAGCTCATAATTTTGTGATACTACTGTATGCCAGGCATTGTTCGAAGCTTCCAATAAACCTATGAGGTAGGTACTATTATGTCTATTTCACAGATGAAAAAACTAAGGCATAGAGAAGTTAACTGGCTTACCAAAGGCTACACAGCTAGCAAATGACATAGCTGGGATTCAAATTCAAGCAGTACAGCTTCAGAGCCACACTATTAAAAACTGCAATATTGCTCCCTAGATATTAACTTCAGTGAGTTTCATTCATTTGTTCTCCAAAATGAATACACCAGCTGAAATATTCCATGTAGACGGGCACAGTGGTTCACGCCTGTCATCCCAGCACTTTGGGAGGCCAAGGCGGGCAGATCATCTGAGGTCAGGAGTACAAAACCAGCCTGGCCAACACGGTGAAACCCCATCTCTACTAAAAAAACAAAAACTGCATAGCGCATGCCTACAGTCCCGGCTACTGAGGAGACTGAGGTAGGAGGATTGCTTGAATCTGGGAAGCAGAGGCACCACTGCATTCCAGCCTGGGCGACAGAGTGAGATTCTGTCTTTAAAAAAAAAAAAAAAGAGAGAGAGAGAGAAAGAGAAAAGGAAAGAAAAGAAGAAGAGGAGAAAAGAGAAGAGAAGAGAAAATATTCCATGAGTTCTGATTCCCCATCAGATCAGTCTCTTGCTTATTTTTGCCAAACTAAGATGTAAGGTAGAAACTCAGTGTTTTAATTAGCGTATCTCTAATTACTAGTGAGGTAATATACTTATGAGCCACTCTGGTTTTTCTCTTTAGATTTTACCTATTCATATATTTGCATATTTTTATTTGTCTTTTTCTTCATGATTTGCAGAAGCTCTTTCTATATTCTATCCTTTGTATATGCAATCCTTGTCAGTTTTAGACACTGAAAATATTTTCTCCTAATCCATATCCATTTTTAGCTTTGCCTATGGGATGCTTTGCCAAATAGAAACCTTTAATTACAAAGTAATCAAAGCTATCAAATCTTATGCATTGTGCTTTGGGATCTTATTTAAGAAATTTATCTTTACCCCAAGGCACAAAAATATTTGCCAATTGTTCCTACTAGCTGTATATCATGGTATCTTTCATTTAGGTCTTTAATCACTTTGGGATTTTTGTTTTATATGGTATGAGGGTTCAACTTAATTTTTGTCCATATAATAAGTCAATTTTCTGAGCACTATTATCCATCTCTTCCCTACTAATTTGTGACACTACCTTTATCATACACCATGTCTCCAAATATCTGTGTGTCTATTCCTGAGCCTAGTTTAGTACTAATTCCTGTTTTCTCAAAGGAAGGATCTATCACTAAGAAAAGTTTTTACTCATACTGCTTTCTAGATTAGTGAAAAATTCAACCACCACCCCCCAAATCCCCACGGGTTCAATATTAGCCTGTATTCTTCCCAAAACAGAATACCCAGTTAAGAAAATAATTTTAAAAAAATAAATATATGTTTATTTAAAAAAGGAAAAGAAAAACCCTAACCAAGAACAACCTCTGGTACACTGAGAAATCAATGCTTCTTCTGAAAGCCAGCAACAGTCAGGGTTGTCATACCCAAGAAGTACAGGTACCTCAGTCCAAACATCAGGTCTCAAATATTCTTCTGTGGTCAAAACTGGCATTCAGCAAGTTGCTGGTCTTTGTGGGCTCCAATTATTAGCACAGACAACTGTTACCACTGGATATCTCGCTGCCTATGCCCACTACCACAGCCCAGCCACCCCCACAGCCTCAGGAAAGTTACATATCCTCAACACTCCATTTGTAGGCAAGTTCCTCCACTGCCTTCTTGCTGGCAAGCCTGGCAAAGCGCTTCTGTTCAAATCCATTGGATCTGCAATCAAAAGAGATATACTATTCAGCCAGAACCCTGAAAGAGACATTTATTTTAAAAGAAAGGGAAGAGTTCACAATATAATGAAATGGGGGGAAAGTAAGGAGTCATATGAAAATATTTAAGGCATGGCAGGGCATGGTGGCTCACGCCTGTAATCCCAGCACTTTGGGAGGCTGAGGCGGGTGGATCACGAGGTCAGGAGTTCATGACCAGCCTGACCAATATGGTGAAACCCTGTCTCTACTAAAAATACAAAAACTAGCTGGATGCAGTGGCAGGTGCCTGTAATCCAGCTATTCAGGAGGCTGAAGCAGGAGAATCACTTGAACGTGGGCGGCGGAGGCTGCAGTGAGCTGAGATCGCGCCACTGCACTCCAGCCTGGGTAACGCAGTGAGACTCTGTCTCAAAAAAAAAAAAAAGAAAAGAAAAGAAAATATTTAAGGCATATGCAATAGAATCAAAGGGACAAAATATATCATTCATCCTTTTCTTGGTCCTTGTTCAGACCCTTCCCCCACTCTGACAGCTATTTCAAACATTTGCCACTCTTTAAAAGCCCAGTTCTCTTTCAGCTGATGTCCACATCCTATATTTTATCCATTCATTACAAAAACATGTATTGAATTTTGTTTATATACTAGGTACCATGGTAGGCACTGCATGAAAATGAGTATCACACAGCACTTGTCCTGATGAACTCCCAGACTAGTGGAAGAGACAGACATTTAAACAAATAAATTAAAAGAACCGCTTAAACTCTGGCAGAAATACGTATGGGGCATCATGGAAACAGAATGGGTATCTTAATCAGCTTTGGGGAGGTATGATAAAAAGGTGACATGAGGGTTGGGCAAGAATGATCAGTAAAGGCTTTGTGTTAACTACAGCACTGGGGATGGGAAGGGTCAGAAGGGTCTGGAGGTCATTTCGAACAGAATGAGCAACAAGAACAAAGGCACAGAAATAAGAAGTGGCTTGGTATGTGCAGCAAACCAAAGGCAAACCGGTATGGCTGGAGCCTGAAGTATGACAAAGGGAACAGCCATGAGTCAAAGTTGGAAAGGTAGGCAGAGGCCAATGCATAATGAGCTTTGTAGGCCATGGTAAAAGCTTAGATTTCATCCAGAAAGGATAGGTTTAAAGCAAGAACTTAAACTGCATTTCAAAGAGATCACTCTGGAGGAGATCTGGGGCAGGAAAATCACTGCAATGGTCCAGGCAACAGATGATGAAGACAATGATAAAGAGGGATGGAAGAGAGAAGATACAGCAGGCAAAATTAGTAAGACTAATTAGTAGGACTAATTGATTAGGTACACAAGGACAAAGAAGGAGGAGGCAAATTAGAGAGCACAAGAGTAGTAGCAGGCTACAGTAGAAGATGATGAGTTCAGCTTTAAATACGATGCATTTGAAATCTCTCAAGTCCAAATCAATAGAGAAATCCAACACATAGCTAAATACACCAGACCAAGATGCGAATACTGATTTGGAAATCATGTACATATAGCTCATAGTTGAAAACATGACTAGATAAGAATCAGCCAGAGGGAGCACATAGAGTGAGAACAGCTAAAAATTACGGATGGAGCCCTGGGAAAGATTTAAGAGGCGCACAGAGGAAGAGGAGTTTGCAAAGGTGGCCCAAGAATGATCAGAGAAAAGAACCAGGAGTAGGGTGTCATGGAAAACAAAACAGGGGTGAATTTCAAGGAGGTAGTGAGTGGTCCTCAAACCCCTTCTAATTACCATGCATTCTCTTGGTCTTCTTATCTAAATTTCTTGAAACAGCCTGTATTAACTATTTGTTTCCTCACTTTTCATTCACTCCTTAATACATTAGAACCTGGCCATTGTTTCACTATACCATGGAACTAGCCCTTTCAAGTCATCAATGATATTCCTTGTTGCCAAATCCAGTGACTCCTCCTTCCTCTTCCCCAAATCAGCAAACAGGTCCCTCCAGCTCACCCCAACCACATTCCCACTTCCTATTCTCTTACTAACCATCCTTACTACCACTGCCTGAAGGTCATAGTTCAGACATTCATTACCTTTAGCCTGAGCTACTGCAAAAGCCTTGTATCTGTTCTACTTCCAATCTTGTGCCTTTCAAATCCTTTGCATTACTGCTATAATGGATTTGTCTATCTAAATTGCAGAGCTGTTTTTAATCCTTCCGTGGCTCCCCTTTACCTCTAGAGTGAAGACCAAGCTCCTCAGAAAGGCTTCCAGGGCCTTCTGTGATCAGGGTCTGCCAACCTCTCTCATCCATCTCAAACTTCATGCTATCCAACAACAGCAAATTACTTATGGACCCCCACCACCTGGTATCACCATGGTGTCTCATAGCCTTATGACTCTGCACATATAGGACCCTCTTCCTTTAACATCCTTCCTTTCCTTCTTATCTTGGCTGATTTACCAATATCCCTTAAAACTCAGCTCCCATATTTCATCCGTTAGGAAGCACTTCCTGATCACATCCTCCTAAGGCTCAACTCACTCTTCCTTTGTGCTCCCAAAACATCTTGAAAATCTTCTATAGCAGCATTGAAATTGAATGCATTGAAATTGTCTGTCTTCTATTCTAGACTGAAAGTGAGCTCCTGGGCTCAGGGGCTATCTCTCATTAATCATGGAATCCCTAGTACCTAGTACCTAGCTACTTACACTTATAACATGTATGCTAAGACTTTCCCTTAAGGAATGAGTGGAGTAATGGAGGGCTTTAAGAAGGGAAACTTGGCCGGACATGGCAGCTCATGCCTGTAATCCCAGCACTTTGGGAGGCCAAGGCAGGTGGATCACCTGAGGTGAGAAGTTTGAGACCAGCCTGGCCAACATGGTGAAACCTTGTCTCTACTAAAAAAATACAAAAATTAGCTGGGTGTGGTGCACACGCCTGTAATCCCAGCTGCTCGGGAGGCTGAGGCAGAAGAATCGCTTGAACTCAGGAGGTGGAGGTTCCAGTGAGCCAAGATCATGCCACTGCACTCCAGCCTGAGCGACAAGAGCGAAATTCTATCTAAAAAAAAAAAAAAAAGAAGAAGAAGAAGAAGGGAAGTTTATTATAAATGGCATCCTCTCCAACCGTAGAAACATGGATGGTACTCCAAAGCACCAAGGAAACTACGGTTTTTTACCTTGGTAATAAGGTCTTAAGAGATTTATACTAATATGATAATACAAAGGACATATGAATAACAAACACCAAATCCTAAGCAGAATCAGAAAACAAATTGCAAGAGAACTCACAGTGGAAAGAGCTTTGGACCAGAGAATCAGGAACAGAATTCTAATTCCAGCTTTCTCAGGGAAACTGCATGCCTCTAGGCAAACTGCTTATTTATTGGGCTTCAGTTTCTCTTTTAATTAATAGGGGCTGGGTAATTACCTCATGGGTTTTTCCAACTGTAACATACTATATATCTGTCTGGAAATATCCCCTTGCAGTGGGCCGAATAGAGACAAAACTAGGAAAGATGATGAAAGATGAATAACAGAAAGAAAGCAAGAGTGACAAAGGGAAATAAGAGGAGAAATCTAGGATAAAATCAGAACAAGAAGTGGAAAAAAGCAACTGAGAAAGATGAAGACAAATTAAACACTAGTAAAAAACTAGGTCAGGGAGAATTCTAAGTTTTGGGTCCAAAAATTAAAAAACAAAAAACAAAAACTCGGTAGCAGGGAACATCTGTAGGGTTGTGCTATAAAAAGATCTACTTCTGGCCATATGTATGGCAAATGAGTATTCTGAAAAATCCTCCCTCTACCAAAAGCCTACGTACTTTTTGCAGTTCATGTAGTGAACCGCAAACGGAACTAGTAAGCTAGCCTGTAACCACAACTACCGTAAAGATATCTAACAAGATGAGGAACTACAGTCATCTTATAGACATCTGCCAATATCAGAAAAAAGAGCCTTACAATTTTTTATTCTAGAGATGGGGTCTCACTAAGTTGCCTAGCCTGGACTTTAACTCCTGGGTTCAAGGGATCTTCCTGCCTCAGCCTCCCAAGTAGCTGGTACTACAGACACATGCCACCACACCTGGCTGTTGGATTTTGACAGCACCATGAGGGACAGAAGACAACGCCTTAGGCCCATATAAGGTGGGGAGTTAGATTCTAGACACTGCAGAGTAACCTGAGCAGACTAACCTATCCTCAGTTAGCAACTATGAAACCTAGGCGAAGTAAAGAAATACAGGTATTTGAACATGTGGAAGAGTGACCAAAAGTAAGTATAAACTGGATGAAGTCTATATATGAGAAGAGATTTGCTAGAGGGCAACTTCCCAAACAGCACAGCTCATGAAGGCAGAAAGTCACAGGCTTACTGGCTTGAGGAGTTAGTGCAAAGTGGGCAGAACAGCTAGGAAATTAGGAGGGAAATCTTGAAAGAGAAGGAACTACAAAAGGGATGAACCTCAAAATCTACATAGAAACCCTACTCAAATCCTTGGCTGACTGTTAAACAACACATGTGCAGAGAAAATACCATCAGGCCAATAAAAAAAAATGGCAGCTAGAAACTAAAAGAACTGAGCAGAGATTGTAGCTGCGGTCCACTGCAAAGGAGACAGTTTGGAGTTCAGCCATGTTAGCTACCTGCTAGAATAAAAGCCAACACACTTAAGAGGAATGTGTTACACTTAAGTTCAGTGTAACAGAACTCAAAGTCTCTACAGTGAATCATTCATGATGCCTAGTAACAATTTTAAAAAGTGACCAGACAGGTAAATAAACAGGAAAATGCAATACACATTGAAGAAAAAGCAGTCAATTGAGAGCAATTCTGTGGTGAATCAAATGTTGCAATTAGCAGACAGGACTTCAAAGCACCAATTACGTATCATAAATACTTTCAAGAAGAGGAAAATGTCTCATAATGAACAGATGGGAAATCTCAGCAGAGAAATGCAAGCTATTAAATGGAAATTTTAGTTGAAAAACAAAACAAACCAGCTAAAACAAAAAATCCACAATTGATAGTAACTGATAGAAAAATACAGACACAAAAAAACCCAGAACATAGGTGATCTAAGATCTAAACACTATTAACCACCTTGACCTCATTGACATTTATAAAACACTACCTTTTATAACTACAGAATATACGTTCTCTTCAAGTGCAAACGAAACATTCAGAAGACAGACTATATACTGGGCCATAAAACACATCTAACAAATTTCATTTGTATTACTGTTTTTTGAGACAGGGTCTCACTCTGTCATCCAGGCTGGAGTGCAGTGGTGCAATCACAGCACATTGCAGCCTCGACCTCCCTGGGCTCAGTGATCCTCATACCTCAGCCTCCAGAGTAGCTGGGACTACAGGCGTGTGCCACTATGCCCGACTAATTTTTATATTTTTTTGTAGAGACAGGGTTTTGCCATGTTGCCCAGGCTGGTCTCAAATTCCGAGGCTCAAGCAATTTCATCTGCCTTGGGCTCCCAAAGTGTTGGGATTACAGGCATGAGCCACCGCGCCTGACCAACAAATTTCAAAAGATCAAAATATTACAGTATACTATCTGACCAAAATTGAATTAAATTACAAGTAAATACCAGTAAGATATCTAGAAAAGTCCAAATATTTGGAATTAATGCACTCCTAAATAACCTATGGAGCAAAGAATAAACCAAAAGGATAATTAGAAAATATTCTGAACAAAATCCAATATACATTCCTGAAAACAAAACTCTCAGCAAAACAGGAATAGAAGGGAACTTTAACTCGATAAAGGGTATCTACAAAAAACCTACAGCTTACAACACACTTAATGGTAAAAAACTAAATGTTTTCCTCCTCAGATTAGGAACAAAGCAAAGATGTCTGCTCTCACTACTTCTATTCGACATCTGCACTGAAGTGCTAGCTAATGGAACAGGGCAAGAAAAAGAAGCAAAAAGCATCTAGATTGGAAAGTAAGAAATCAAACTGCAGGCAAAGATGGAACGACCCTCTAGGTACAAAATCTGATGGAAACTCTAAAAAAGCTATTGTACAAAGTGAGCTTTACCAGAAGGAAAACAACTGACATTACAGTGTAACAGAGCTCAAAGTCTCTACAGTGTATCATTCATGATGTCTAGTAACAATTTTAAAAAGTGACCAGACAGGTAAATAAACAGGGCAATGTAATCCACACTGAAGAAAAAGCTGCCAATATAGAAACCAATCCTGTGGTGAATCAAATGTTGCAATTAGCAGACAGAAAGGACTTCAAAGCACCAATTATATATCATAAATATTTTCAAGAAGAGGAAAATATCTCATAATGAACAGATGGGAAATCTCAGCAGAGAAATTAAGCTATTAAATGGAAACAGCTCAAGCAATGGAAATGCCAGTGATAACATTTAAACTTTCAAGTGTAAATTAGAATTCTGAAAAACTGTGAACTCTTTAACTTCCCATTATTTAAAGATTTTTGTGATGAGACCAGAAATGATGTTAACAAAAGTGACTTTCTAATATTGTATAGTGGAAATATGTCAACATTTGGAAGGTCTGAAAAACTCAGCAAACCAATATTTTACAAATGACCAATGCATGATGTTATAAAATCATGCATGTTGTAAAAGATCCACTCCAAGTATTAAAAAAAATTAATATAACAGTAATGAAAGTTCTTTGATCTGGTTTCAGGTTCCACATAGCTCACCTTTAAGAAACCAGCACTTGTTGAGTTTTTGTGTTAACATTAAGAAATATAATATGCCTTCTCTTTCTAACTACCTATGTGTGAGGCTAAATTTTCTTCCTATACTTCAACTGAACAACATATCACAGCAGACAAATGCAGTCAAGTTACCTACTATTAAGTCAGACATTAATGAGATTTGCAAAAATGTAAATCAATGCCATCCTTCTATTTTTTCACTTGGAAAATGTAATCATTTTTCATTTAAAAATACAGTAATTATGGGTGCAGCACACCAACATGGCACATGTATACATATGTAACAAACCTGCATGTTGTGCATACGTACCCTAGAACATAAAGTATAATAATAAAAAAAGTTATGTTAATGTAATTAGTTTATTATTTTTTAGAATGAATAAACACTTTTTAAATGTCTGAGTTTTAATTTATAACATGGTAAATATCAATATATATAATCCACATCAACAAAAGCTTTTTGAGATCATCAGTAATTTTTAAGAGTGTAGGCCAGGCACGGTGGCTCAAGCCTGTAATCCCAGCACTTTGGGAAGTCGAGGCAGACGATCATATAAGCCCAGGAATTGAAGACCAGCCTGGCCAACGTGGCAAAAACCCCGTCTCTACTAAAAATACCAAAATTAGCTGGGTACGGTGATGCACACCTGTAATCCCAACTACTCAGGCCGCAGAAGCATGAGAATTGCTTGAACCCGGGAAGTGGAGATCGCACCACTGCACTCCAGCCTGGGCAACAGAGCAAGACTCTGCCTCAACAACAACAAAAAACAAGAGTGGTTGGGCATGGTGGCTCACCTGTAATCCTGTAATCCTGTAAACCTGGAATCCCAGTATTCTGAGAGGCCAAGGTGGACGTATCACCTAAGGTCAGGAGTTCGAGACCAGCCTGGCAACATAGTGAAAACCTGTCTCTACTAAAGATATAAAAAATTAGCTGGGCATGGCAGCACGCGCCTGTAATCCCAACTACTCAGGAGGCTGGGGCAGGAGAATCGCTCGAACCCGGGAGGCAGAGGTTGCAGTGAGCTGAGACTGCGCCACTGCATTCCAGCCTGGGCAACAGGGTAAGACTCCATCTCAAAAAAAAACCAAAAAAAAAAAGAGTGTAAAAGGATCCTGAAATTAAAAAGTTTGAGAATTATTGTGCTAGATACTAAAACAATGTCCTTTAGCAGGCAAGAGGAGATAGAATCTAATACGTAAGTACACGAACTGACTCTGGATGGAAGCAAATATAGTTCATCCATCATAACAAACAGGAAGTTAGAGCATGTGGGTACAGATGCTGGTAGGTAGACAGATGAGGTGGTAGAGGACCGTGAGACATTAAAAGTGACTGCCTCCTAAGACCGTAAAGTGAATAAAGATTCAGAGGCTACATTTTAAAGACATATCACATAGAAGGCTCCAGACTACGACTCATCACTCGACCCCTCTAAACCTTAGAAAATATCATTAAAAGTAACCAATGTCCAAAACAAAGGGTGTCTTATCTGAACCACCTGAGTTGTTTGTACAGAGCTTTAAAAAGTGTTATGAAAAGGAAACAGAAAGAGGAGTGTTCCAAGCATGAAAAATAGGATTTGTGGACCCTAGAAATAGAAGCAAGCAAAGTGCGTATTTTTCACCTTGTGATTAAAGCAGAGAATGAAATAAAGTGTGGAGCAACTTACGAGTGGTTAGGGAAGGTTACAGTCAGGTAGAAGAGAAAATAAAAACCTAAGAAATACCCAGGCTTACCTGTCCACTCCATCCCAGCGATATCCGGGCCAGATATTAAATCTGTTGGGAGGAGGTGCTGGACCACTGTAGCGAGGTCTCACTAAAGAGAGGAGTAAGAAAAAAGTATTTAGTTAATGACATAATTTAATTCAGAGCTGGATGGCAATGTGGGAATTTATTATTATTATTATTATTATTATTTTTAATAGAGTCTCACTCTGTTGCCCAGGCTGGAGTACAGTGGCACAATCTCGGCTTACTGCAACCTCTGCCTCCTGGGTTCAAGCGATTCTCGTGCCTTAGCCTCCTAAGTAGCTGGGATTACAAGCGTGCACCACCACGTCCAGCTAATTTTTTTTGTATTTTTAGTAGAGACGGGGTTTCACCATGGCCAGGCTGGTCTCCAACTCCTGACCTCAGGTGATTCACCCACCTCAGCCTCCCAAAGTGCTGGGATTACAAGCATGAGCCACCGCGCCTGGCCCGGAAAAATTTTCACATAGAAAGACCAGTTGAGTTGAATCTAAACTCACAAATACAATGAATTTAAATTATTTGGGAAATCCTTCCTTGCATACAGCTATGTATCAGCATCCTAATGATTCTCTCTCTTCACAAGTCACCTCCAGCTCTGATGATTCCCAGAAGTCCCACCTTTTTTATTCTTGTTCTCCTTGGCCTTATTCTTCTTGATGAAGTCGGCCATGGGGTCCCCTTCTCTTTCTTGTTCTCTTAGCATCCTATCCAGATCTTCGTCATCAATATAGCGGGCCAGAGGCTTTTGCATCTCTTTCACTGCATCCTCCACATTTTGTTGCTGTTGCCGGCTCTGGGCAAGCCTGGGCAAAAAAGAACCAAGAGTGTTTGCTATCCTGTATGACATTTCCACTTCTACACAAGATGGACCATACTGCTAAATTTGGAGACTCTCCTCTTTCTAGTAGTACCCTAGGGCAAATACTGAGCAGGGTAGAATTCCCAGAATATCCACTGGAAGTGTGGAATATATCAATATCCTAGGAAGAAGATTCAGCACACCAAATTTCCCATTACTGGTAACAGCTCTGAAGGCATAATAAGAAAGTGAGTGATCAAGAAGAGCAGAGAAATGACTTGTTCCAGTCACTGCCATCTTGTTTACCCTTTCAGTGGTTCCCTTACCCTTTTCCCCACTGGGCATACAGCTCATCTCTCTCTGAGTCCTTTTCTGCTTTCCTCCTTTGCTCTAAACGTTCCAGTTTCAAATTCCTCTTACGACCAGACTTATCTCGAAACACGGTTTCAGCATATTGAAATTCAGCTGCAAAGGAAAATTATACTCAAATATCAGGATCAAAATCAGAAATAACATTCTAAGAGATCAAATCAACCGCTTGGGATTCTAATGTTGGATAAGAACTTCTGCAGCCAGACCAAAGTAGTTCCTACCAACATCTAGGTGCATACTGGCACTGGGCCCGAGAAATGGCATTTTTCTTTTTTTTTTTGATATGGAGTCTCGCTCTGTTGCCCAGGCTGGAGTGCAGTGGCGCGATCTTGGCTCACCACAACCTCCACCTCCCGGGTTCAAGCGATTCTCTTGTCTCAGCTTCCTGAGTAGCTGGGATTACAGGCATGCAACACCACGTCTGGTTAGTTTTTTTCTATTTTTAGTAGAGACGGGGTTTCATCATGTTAGCCAGGCTGGTCTCAAACTACGGACCTCAGCTGATCCACCCGCCTCGGACTACCAAAGTGCTGGAATTACAATGAGTCACCACGCCTGGGTGAAATGGCATTTTTCAAGAAGGAAAGAAACACTGGGACTCACTGAGAAATTACAACCATGCATAAAACCAGAGCTGAAATTTGATAGCAATTAAAAGTTTAAAATACCAGGTACAATAAACTAAATTTAAAAAAAAAAATGAGCCTGGATTGGTCTCTGCACTTTCATATTTTTACCTTCAAATGCCATGGTTTCTTGATCCTGTTTCTTGAGCTCCTGCTGTTCTCGCTGTATGTCAGTTAACACCAACCCAGTTTTAGCCCCAGAATACATGTGTGCAGCCTATGCAATGGAAAAGGGAGCATCCAACATTAATGAGATGATGTGGCAGTAGGCTCCATGGGTACACAGTTAGTTGCATTTGTGTCTGATGACCAGCAATAATTAAACCTCAAACTCTAGCTTTATATTCTCATTAATTACCATAGGATTCAAAAACTATAAAAGAAAATCAAATTTCATCAAAACCATCAAGTTTAAGAGTAAGCAGAAACACAAACTAACAATATATTAAAGGGAGAGCTACACATTTGCATTTCTGACTTTTCAGAATATAAACTGCACACATGAAGATTCTCTCAGGTCATGTGATCAGAAACCAGTATAAAGCACTAAGCCTTCCATTAGAGACCGACACTGATAAAATATTCCATTTACAGTACAAACTCAAGTAAACCTAAGATCCTTAAATTGTGGATATATTTCAGGGTAATAACAAAAGATCTAACCAAATGAAAACTTTTTGCTAATTTCCACTTAGTATCAAGATAGCAAACCAGCCCACGAATGAAGCACACAGTGTATCCTGATATCCTTAAGCAACCAAATTGGACTAATATTAAGTTGTCCATGAACTAAACAGATATATAAAATGTCAAGGGGTCCAGCTGAAACAGAGACCGCTTTTTTCCCTAAAAGAGAAGAATTTCACTCCCTGGGTAAAGAACAAGCTGGTCTACCCTGCCAGGACCAGTCTTCTCAGAGTTTTCTACAGACAAGATTTACCCGATAAGTCTGCACTGGGGAGAAAAATGCACATCACAGCCTCTATCATTCTGTTTCTTAACCACTCACAAATAAGATTCCTTTACTACTACCAATGTTCTTTACAATATAATTACATAGGGTTCATATGGATTTTTGGATTTTTTGGTTAATTCATCAAGCTTTATCATGAATTCAAAACAAAACATTGACCTTTCGGACAACATGATTTCTAAAAGTGGTTTCATATTTTAAGTGTCTGTTCTTAAGTTCTGGATACAGAGACCTATAGTCCAATTTATAGTAGTAAATCACTAACACTAGATACTTACTTTGTCCCAGACACTGTGCTAAGAGGTTTACTTACACTGGCTTAATTATCATAACAACCTTACACAGTAGGTACTACTATTATCCACAATTTACAGATAAAGAAACTGAGGTTTAGAGATATTAAGCATCTTGCCATATGATCCGTTTGACACAATGTTTGTGCTCCAAACTCCACTCTGCAAATTACAGTCCCCAGTTTATTCCTAAGAAAATAGGAAGCTTTTCTGGACCTGTTAAAATGAGATTGTAGAATTAAGAGGCTATAAAAGCAAAAGCTACTTGGGAAATCTGGTATCCGTAAGTCCATCCGGGATGGGTTATAGCCAGTTTGCCTTCAGAAGGAAAGACCTCCAAAGGTCCTTTTAACTAAGATTTACTACACTTCTAAGAGCTACATCCTTCTTCTTGGCTTATCTGGGACATATATAAAACTGAGAGAGAGGAGTCACACAAAAAGAAGGACATGGCTCCTGAAAATCCTGACCTTCTTTCCAGGAGGCTGACTCCTTCGAGGTGGGGACAGGTCAGAATCAGAAGATTTGGTCCTCTGTCTCCTCCTTGGTGGAGAGAGGTCAGAATCAGAGCTCCGGCGTCTAGGTCTATTCCGTGGAGGTGATAGATCTGAATCAGAATCCTGGTGCCCTGGACTTTGTTTATGCCGTGGAGAAGAAAGGTCTGAATCAGTTGTTTTCTGGCAGTCACCTGGATAGGAGCAAAGAATCTGTGTGACTCTGATGTCCCCTAGGTGAAGAACTTACATGAAATCTCCTATGGCTGGGAGAAGAACCTAGAAATTAAAGAATTCCTTTTATTTTATTTTATTTTTTGAGACAAGAGTCTCAGGCTGGAGTGCAGTGGCGTGATCTCAGCTCACTGTAATCTCCGCCTCCTGGGTTCAAGCAATTCTTGTGCCTCTGCCTCCCAAGCAGCTGAAATTACAGGCGCATGCCACCACGCCCAGCTATACCCAGAAATACCTAGAATTATATTCTGATATCCTCGGACTAAAGGATAACAAAGTGCTTTAACTTAAAATTAAAATAGTTCCTGGGAACAAAAGAGGGAATAAAAAATTTAACTGCACAGGCCTAAATTCTAGTGACTGTATAAGCATCACAAGTCACCTCCCAAAGAGCATTCTGCAATACATATCGACAGTCTTTAAAACGGCCACATCTTCTGACCCAGTACATCAACTTCTCAGCTTTCTAAGAAACCTATATAGAAGTAGTTGAATTTCCAGGAAATCTATCTAGAAGTAGATAAGGAAATAATCCAAAATGGGGACAACAGTTTATGTACAAGGATGTTCATTATAGAATTACAGAAGCAAAAACTTAGAAATAACCAAAAACATTCTTTATTAGGAAAATGGTTAAATTTATGTAATGAAACACTATTAAAAATATTAACATAAAGATGTTTTTATGGCCTGAGGAAGACTGTTAAGAAAGGAGAGCAGGCAAGATTGCACATGCAATACAAATGTTCTACATAGCCAGAGCTCAACTATATAAAAAAGGCAAACCAAAAAAGACTAAGGTGGCCCTGGCTACAACACTAATTGCCTCTGAATGACAGAATTTTGTGTCACATTTTATCTTTATACACCTCTGTACATTCTAAAGCTTCTGCAACAAATAAATTGTACTTTTCTATGGGGTGGGGCGAGTACATAAAAAGATACATGAAAACCTTCCTCCTGCCACCATAATCCTTTAACTCTCCCAAACCCAGCCTCTCACTTTTCAAAACTTTCCCAAAGAAACTCCATTCTCATACCTAATAAAACAAGTAAAGGGCCAAAAGAAAGCTCCCAGGGATACATATGTCCCTCTCATGGACAGTCATATGCTCACCTTTGGAATCAAACTGCTTCTTGTCTCCAAAATGGGATTTTGTTTGCTTTTTTCGTGGAGGAGAGAGGTCAGGGTCATACTCATATTTGCTGTTCTTTGGGAGTGACGAATGGGAGGCTCCTGACTCCTTCCAATGTGGAGAAGTCTTGCTAGAGGCTCTTTCTGGGGCTTTACCACTTTTGGTTCTGGGTAGGGAATGAGTGACAGTAGGAGCCAAATCAGGGGAGTCATGATGGGCCCTTCTGAGTTGCTGTGTGTCTGAAGAGCCAAGAGTCCTCCTAGATGTGTCAGGGGAGTTGTTATGGACCCTTCTGGAGGTAGAGATATCTGAGGAATCATGACGGGCTCGCCTAGGAGAGGGATCTGGTGAATCATGACGGACTCTCCTAGGAGATGCACCTGAAGAATTATGCTGAGGCCTCCTGGGAGAAGGATCTGGAGAATCATGACGGGCCCTCCTTGGAGGTGAAGTGTCTGAGGAGTCATGACGGATCCTCCTGGGAGGAGATGTGTCTGAGTCATGACGAGCCCCTCTGAGGGGAGAAAGATCTGGGGTGTCATGACGGGCCCTCTTAGGAGATGAATCCGGGGTATCATGACGGACTCTCCCAGGAGATGAATCCGGGGTATCATGACGGACTCTCCTAGGAGATGAATCTAGGGTATCGTGAAGAAAATGCCTGTGTGAGGGTAGGTCTTCATTGTGGCCTAAACACAAAAAACAAAGAGTCAGATTCCCACAAATGCTCTGTCCCTCTGTCCACCCCCACACCCAGTTTCAAGACATGCTCCAGCAGCACATACCTCAGAACTGCTCAAAAAGCCCAAAAGGCCTGCACAGTTTTCTTGCTTAGCGGCAGCAAATCACCACTCATGAATATCCTAAGAATAACCCCTCCGCCTACCAAGTCATAAATTTGCAAAGCATTTTCAGTACATTTTTCATATTATACCCTTTAAGGTAAGCAGGGCAGGTACCCTTGTATTATGAACAGAGCCTCTGTTTTCAGCTGAGGAGCTGAGCGATTTCTTACCCAAGGTCACAGCTACTAAGATGAAGACACAGGCTAGAATCCAAGTCTTCTAACTCCCAGTCCAATGTTCTTTCTAAAACCTCATTTGTGCAGAGTTCCCAGCTAGTGGCTCCTACTGATATTTTGCCTAGATACTTTATAGTTTGTACTCACTCCTCTTTCAAAAGGTAAATTGACTAAAACAGTGAATATCAAAATCAAATGCTGTTAACTATTTAATCCATTTCACTGTGCTCTTCGTTAGAGAGCGGAAAAAATCACAAAAAAAGAAAGGAGCAAGTAATTACCAATCACCTACTGTGTGCCAATGTTTTATAGAGATTACCTGATTCAATTCTCATAAGCCTAGGACATAAATATTGTCATTTCCATTTTATAGATGAGGAAGTTAATACTCAGAAAGCTTAACTTGCCAAAGTCATATTGCTAATAAGTGGTGGAGGAGTATTTAAATTCAGCTCTATTTGACTCCAGAGTCCACGTGCAATCTTTAAAATACGTAAATCTTTAAAGTTAAAAAACAAGTTTGAGACCTTCCATTTTCTTTTTTTTTTTTTTGAGACGGAGTCTCGCTCTGTCGCCCAGGCTGGAGTGCAGTGGCCGGATCTCAGCTCACTGCAAGCTCCGCCTCTTGGGTTTACGCCATTCTCCTGCCTCAGCCTCCCGAGTAGCTGGGACTACAGGCGCTCGCCATCTCGCCCGGCTAGTTTTTTGTATTTTTTAGTAGAGACGGGGTTTCACCGTGTTAGCCAGGATGGTCTCGATCTCCTGACCTCGTGATCCGCCCGTCTCGGCCTCCCAAAGTGCTGGGATTACAGGCTTGAGCCACTGCGCCCGGCCGAGACCTTCCATTTTCAAAGGCACCACAGAATGAAATATCTACAGCATCTGGAACGGTTTCAAAATTCAGTTCTTCCTCTACCTCTATCTCTTGTCATTGAGCTCCATAGCCCAAATAAAAATAAAGGCTGGGTAGGAACCAATGAATACTTGCTAAATGAATGAATTAAACCAAGTCAACTCCTTTACTTTGGGGAACAGGCCTATCTGATTGGAATCCACTCCACAGAGAAAAGTATGATGTCTGTGGGGGGCCTAACAGTAAATCTGAAGGAAGTAAGGGTCAGAGATTGGTAAGCGTATTTCCAGTAACAGATTGGGATGAGAAAGTGAAAGCAAGGCAGAAGAAAAGGAGTGAGTGAGTGAGTGAGTGTCTGCAACTGACTTTCTAAACATTCAGATACCGAAAAGCACTGTGTGTGTGTGTGTCTGTATGTCTTCCTAGACAAATAAGATATGGAGACCAAAAGACTCTCTTTGGAAAAGAATTCTGGTTAGGCTACAAAAATCAAATGCCTACTAGCAATTAAACAATTCTACAGATATTTATTAAAGGCAGCTCCTTGTGCTAGACAGGGGACTATCATGGCAAATAAGACCAGTCTATGCTCAAACAGATGTGACACACAAACACTTTTTATCCAAGTCTCAAGGACTCAAATTTTTTTCAAGAGAGTTAAGTTATAAATATTAGCTTAGGAAGAGTCTAAAGTGGGCGGGTGGAGGGTAATGCACTGTAAAATACCAATATTTAAGGAAAGAAGAGAGAAATTTACTAACACAAACAGAACAAAAAACATTGGTCCTTGACCCCCTAGAAATGAGTTGCTTCATTGTGGAAGAGGACAGTGGTAGCTAAAGTCCCCAAATTCTGTTTCTGTTTCTTGTAAACTCCTCCCAAAGTCTTGCCTATATACCGAGGGCTCTCCTATTCTGAGTCAAAGAGGAATGGGTGCTCACAGGCCTCCAAATTAGTCACCGATCTCAGTAACCCTAATGCCAAAATACAAGAGAAAGAGGAATATCTGGTCTCTAAGTTCCTATGTCTTACTACTTCTGAAGAAGTCCAGCTTCCTTTTTCCTGCTTTATTTTTCAGGATCAATGACATGCTAAAAAAAACTATGCATTCCTCTAAAAGAAAAGTGTAGAAAAGAAAAAAAGACCTCCCCTACTAATGGAGATTTAGATTTATCTATTGTTGGAACTCACCTCCCAGAAGCTTCCATTTGGCACTGGAACGAAAGGCCTCCATCTGCTTTACCTCTTCCGGCCGCTCATCCACAAACTCTGCCACCTGTGGGAGTAAAGATTTCCTATGCTGAGGAAATCCACAGGATCCAGCCAAGAAGCACTGTCTCAAGAACCTGAAGTTACAACCATTCCGATTCCTAACCTAAGGGCGCACACATATCCAACATGGTCATGAAGAAATAATTAGGGGTCTTCAGTTATGCTAGCTCCATAAGCACCTGATTGTCACTGTATTAGTTGAATTGTAGATCTTTCTCTAATTAATCAATTTCCCCGCAAAGGTTAATTTCTTTCATTACAAACCTTTTTATTAACCTGCTAGGTACACAACAGCCACTTGTAAGCTAACACTAAATTCCTATTACACTTTTACTTCTACATTAAGAGTGAAAACATAGGTGGCCCCCCATCATGCCTAGCACTAATCAAGGACTTTGGGTTTCTATGAAACCTTTCTTGTTGTAGGTAGTCACAATAATAGGTTTTCTTGAATACAACCAAAAAGAGCCACTGAGATGTACACAGAATCATTAATCTTTAAGAGCTAAAATCACATTTCTTATCTTCCAAACTTCCGAACGAATCAGAATCTTCTCTATAGTATTCCTAATAAATGGTCACTCACCCAATCCCTTCCTGACAAGGACCTCATTTATCTTACAACGCAGTCCACTGCATTTTTCAAAAATGTTAGAAAGTTCTTAGTTTTACTGGTCTCATCTCTACCTTCCTATAACTTCTTTGAATTGATTCTAGTTCTGACCTCTGATGCAACTGATCCCTTTTCCACATGACAAATTTTCAAAGAATGATGGCATAATAAATCCTAGTTACAGAGTAGCAACTATGTGCAAGGTACTGTGTTTTGTGTTTTATTCATATAATCTAACTCGATTCTCACAATAACCCTGCAAAAGGCTCCACACTACTGAATAGCAAACTGACTCAGAGAAGTTAAGTAACTTTCTCAGTATCACAAGCTAAAAAGTGGCAGAACTGGAATTTAAATCCAGGTCGTAACAGCCCTCTACTTCTCCAAAAATCCTACCATCATTCTTCATATAACCCAGTTTTGAGATCTCTCACTGAGCATTAAAAGCACAGGTTTCGGGCAAGATGAATTAAGATCTAAACCCCAGTTCTGCCACTTAGCATCTGTGTAACCTTTGGTAAATTATTCTAAGCCTCAATTTCCTCATTTGTAAAAGTGGGATTCAAAGGATTGCTATAAGGATCGAATGAGATAATTCACGTAAGCTTAGCCCTGCATGGTAAATGATAAATGCTCAATAAATTACACCTATTAGTTATTCCTGTGCTGTCACTGCTCTCATAATCATCATAATCGTTTTGCCATTATTACTGGTGGTGGCGGTGGTGGTGATCTTGCAGTTACAAAAATGAATTCAATAATCAAGATCTGTTTTAACCAATGCAGAGAGCAGTGGCACTAAAGCCTCCTTTGTTTAGGTTTTTGGGCCATGATAAAAGCAAGACAATATCATAAAAGAAAATGGCCAGGTGCAGTGGCTCATTCCTGTAATCCCAGCACTTTGGGAGGCTGAGGCGGGTGGATCACTTCAGCCCAGGAGTTCATGACCAGCTTGGGCAACATGGAAAAACCCCGTCTCTACTAAAAACACGAAAATTATCTGGGCATGGTGGCAGGCGCCTATAATCCCAGCTATTCGGGAGGCTGAGGCAGGAGGTTCGCTTGAACCCAGGAGGCAGAGGCTGCAGTGAGCCAAGATCGAGCCACTGCACTCCAGCATTGGTGACAGTGCGAGAATCTGTCTGAAAAAAATAAATAAATAAATAAAAACTATTATGAAGTAAGTGAAAAGGCAAATGATAAAATACACCTACAACATAAGCCTAATGAACATATAAAAAATGATTCATTTCACTAGTGTTCGAAGAAACTGGGCCAGGCACGGTGGCCCACGTCTGTAATCCCAGCACTCTGGGAGTCCCAGGCAGGTGGATCACGAGGTCAGGAGATCGATATCATCCTGGCTAACACAGCGAAACCCCATCTCTACTAAAAATACAAAAAATTAGCCGGGCATGGTGGCAGGAGCCTGTAGTTTCAGTTACTCCGGAGGCTGAGGCAGGAGAATGGTGTGAACACGGGAGGCGGAGCTTGCAGTGAGCCGAGATTGCACCACTGCACTTCAGCCTGGGCAACAGAGCAAGACTCCATCTCAGAAAAAAAAAAAAAAGAAATGGATACCATTACTCACTTGCTAAATCGGCACAGGTTTGCTATTGGTTTTGTTTTGTTAATAATTCTTTAATATCGGCCGGGCATGTGGCTAACACCTGTAATCCCAACACTTTGGGAGGCCTAGGTGGGAGGATCACTTGAGCCCAGGCGTTCAAGACCAGACTGGGCAACACAGAGACCTCATCTCTACAAAAAATACACAAAATTAGCCAGACATTGAGGTGCGCACCTTTGGTACCAGCTAGTTGTGGGGCTACGGTAGGAGGACTGCTTGCACCTGGGAGGTAGAGGCTACAATGGGCCATGATCACACCACAATGAGCCATGATCACACCACTGTACTTCAGCCTGGGCAACAGAGCAAGACCCTGTCTCAAAAATGATAGTAATAATATTGACGACGTAGGCGAACTGGAATTCTCATTACCTCTAGTGGAAGTGTAAACTGGTAGCACCTTTTGGAAAGCAATATGGGAATATAACTAAAAAGAACCATACCCTTTGATCCATTCATTTCATATTATGGGAATAAAGAAATAAACTGATTTCTACAAATGACTTATGTACAATGATGTATGATATTTTAAAAGTGGAAACAGTTCATGTATCCAGTAATAGAACAGATTAAATATATATAGTAAACTACTACATAACCAATAAAAATCATACACTCAAAGAATATTTTAAGGTCTTACCAAAGTATCCAAAACATATTATTTAGCAGAAGAGTAGACTCCAAAACCATATGTACAGTATGATCCCAATTATGTTCAAAAAAATAAAACACAAGCATGTATAATCTCTAAAGAGAAAAACCTGAAGAGATATGCATCCAAATATCAGCAGTTGCCTTTGGATGGTCACAATATAAGTGGTTATTCTTTTAAAAACTTTAAACTTTTTTCAATTCCCAAATATTCTGTAATAAACATGCATTGCTTTCATAAAATTAAAAAATAACAACAAACATTGTTAATATTTATTTGTTCTGACCAAAACTAAATTGGCTCCCTAAGATCACTATTTCCCTTCTAATTACTAGCAAGCCCTCTTTTAAATAATCTATTTTTAGAATTTTGCTAGGAATTAATGTTAAATACTCACCTGGAATCCATCTTTACCACCTTTAGTGGAATTCAGCCTATCAACAGCTCTCCTTTCCACTTTGTTTCTCAGAAATTCTCAGCAATGGTTTCATGAACCACTGGAAGGTCATTTGCCTATGATTTTGTCCACCTGGCTCTTATTTATCCTTCAAAACTCAATATTTACATCTTTCAGGATATCTCCCAACAGAATACAAAGTATGCTACCTCCCCTGGGCTCTAATGGTACTTGGTACATATGTGAAATATCCCCAACATTTACCATACTGTTGAAATTTATTTGAAATTGTTTTCCATTCCAGGGTATAAACTCTAAAATATAGCTATGTTCTATTAATCTACATATCTCCAGTACTTAGGCAAGAATATACAATTTGAAAGTTTGGTTAAATCAATGAAAAAAAGGAGCAAATAAAAAGTTCCCTATAATTGAACCTCAGCATTGTTTTTAAGGAAGATTCCAACAAACTGAACCACAGCCAATTCACATCATTACTCTATCACTGATGTTGAGGAGTCCTCTCTCTGTGATCCGCCTCATTTCTAGGCTGATGGGCCCTCCATAAAGAGAGGAGTTGGTGTATAGGCATCAGCAAAGAAAACTATTTTAAACAGCTCTTTGGAAACTGTCACCTCTTTTCTGTTCTCAACTAACCCCCTACAAATCTACCCTGAGCTGGGAAAAGAAATTGAGAAGCCTGGCCTGGCACGGTGGCTCACACCTGTAATCCCAGCACTTTGGGAGGCCAAAGTGGGTGGATCACCTGAGGCCAGGAGTTCAAGACCAGCCTGGCCAACACGGTGAAACCCCGTCTCCACAAAAACACACACAAAAAAAATTAGCCGGGCATGACGATGGGCGCCTGTAATCCCAGCTACTCAGGAGGCTGAGGCAGGAGAATCGCCTGAACCCAGGAGGTGGAGGTTGCAGTGAGCCAAGATCACGCCATTGCACTCCAGCCCAGATGACAGAGTGAGACTCCGTCTGAAAAAAAAAAAAAAAAATTGAGAAGCTTGCTTCATTTCAAAATCCCGACGGCCCCAAAGATACATACCACAGGCAAATCTCCGTCATCTTCCTCTTCCTCCTTTTCTGGTTTACTTGTGGAGATAGCGGTCCAGCTCACATCATCATCCACAATCCGCATTCTAAATGAGAAGAAGATCAAAAAGAGTCATTCTAGGATACCAGCCTAAAAACACTTATCTATCGGTTTTAAAATAAAAGTTCAAAATCCTACAGGATCCTGCATGGTCCAGTCTTTGTCTTCAAGGTCATCTTAATCTCCTACTGCTACCTCCTTGGTTGAACACCTCCCTGGGTCATCCTTTGGTGCCTAGGAAGGAGCCAAGTTACTACCACATCAGTTTTCACATATGCAGTTCCTTCCCTCTGCCTGATCTACACTTCTCAATCTTTTTCTTTTTTGAGACAGGGTCTCACACTGTTGCCCAGGCTGGAGTGCAGGGGCACCACCATGGCTCCCTGCAGCCTTGACTTCCTGGGGTTAAGTTATTCTCTCCACTCAGTCTCCCAAGTAGCTGAGACTACAGGCATGTGCCACTGTGCCTGACTTTTTTTTTTTTATTTTTTGTAGAAACAGGGTTTAACCATGTTGCCCAGACTGGTCCCAAACTCCTATATGCAAGCAATCCACCCGTCTTGGCCTCCCAAAGTGCTAGGAAACTCTTCCTCATTCCAGGAAACTCTTCCTCATTTTTCAGGTCCTAACACAAACTTAACTTCCTTTGGCAAACTTTTTTTTTTTTTTTTCTTTTTTTTTGAGATGGAGTCTTGCTCTGTTGCCCAGGTTGGAGTACAGTGGCACAATCTCAGCTCACTGCAAGCTCCGCCTCCCGGGATCACGCCATTCTCCTGCCTCAGCCTCCTGAGCAGCTGGGACTACAGGCTCCTGCCACCACGCCCGGCTAATTTTTTGTATTTTTTTAGTACAGACGGGGTTTCACTGTGTTAGCCAGGATGGTCTTGATCTCCTGACCTCGTGATCCGCCCGCCTCGGCCTCCCAAAGTGCTGGGATTACAGGCGAGAGCCAAAGACCACGGACCCAGCCAGGCCCAGTGGCTCACGCCTGTAATCCCAGCACTTGGAGGCTGAGGCGGGTGGATCATGAGGTCAGGAGATCGAGACCAACCTGGCTCACATGGTGAAACCCTGTCTCTACTAAAACTACAAAAAATCAGCCAGGTCTGGTGGCGGGCACCTGTAGTCCCAGCTACTTGGGAGGCTGAGGCAGGAGAATGGCATGAACCCTGTAGTTGGAGCTTGCAGTGAGCTGAGATGACGCCACTGCACTCCAGCCTGGGGGACACAGTGAGACTCCGTCTCAAAAAAAAAAAAAAAAAAAAGACTAAGAACTCTTGTTAAAAACTCTTGGAATACTTTCATTGCATTTATCATAAAGAAAATACATCAATTAGTTGTGTAATTAGTTGCTTAAAGCCTGTATTCCCACTAAACTATAAGCTCCACAAGAACAGGGACTATGTTTCTTTTTGTTCACAGAGGCATCCTTAACACCCTACAGTAACTGGAATACGGTGTATTCAATAAATGCTTGTTACATGGATAAACTATAGTTGAGCCCCAATAATAACCATGACTGCCATGATGTGAAGTTATTCAAAAAGCCAGGGTCACTTAATGCAATCCCTCTAATCACAACCACCACTTCATAAAAGCATTATTATTCAGTATTATTCGCATTTTAAAGATAAGGAAACTGCAGTTCAGTGAGATGAAACACCTTGCCCAAGGGTACACAGCCTATAAAGTGGCACAGCTAGGATTCGAACTCTGACCAGTGCTGCTCCAACACTCAAGCTACTTTCATCACATGGCACTGCCTCCAAAGGATCCACACAAGTCAGTGAAGCAGAAAGACGAGGACAATAATAAGGCAAGCACCAAACCAGAAAACAACATGGACTAGTTCTTTAGAACAATGTGACTTCACTGGGTATCTTAGTGCCTTAGGGTTACTGTAACAAAGTACCACAAAATTGCGTGGCATAAAACAACAGAAACTCTCACAGTTCTGGAAGCTAGCAATCTGAAATCCAGGTGTCTGCAAGGCCATTCTCCCTGCAAAGTCTGTAGGGAAGGATCTTTCCTTGCCTCTCCCAGCTTCTGGTAGCCCCAGGCATACCTTGGCTTTTGGCAACATAAATCCAATCCAATCTCAGCCTTCATCTAGACATGGTCGTTTTTCCTTTGTTGCTGTGTCTGTATCCATACTTCCCTCTTTTTAAAAGGAAAACAGTCATTTTGTATTTGGCACCCACCTTAATCAAGTATGACTTCATCTTAACTGATTACATCTCCAAAGACCCTATTTCTAAATGTCACATTCTGTGGTTCTGGGTGGAAAACGATTGGGTAGGGCCCACTACATTGGGCCACAAAGTTTTCCCATTTGAAAATAATACCCAGTTCATGGTACTGTTGTAAGGCTTAAACAAACTTATGTTTAAATTTCTTATAATGTTGCCTGGCAAGAAAAGTATAATTATGTAAATGTTAACTTCTCTTGTTAGTAGGACTATTACTAAGAGTAACAGGAGGTGATCCAAGGTCTCTGATTCAGAACCAAGTCTTTGGGATTTGGGAATCCCCACAGGCAGGTACCGGGCCCTAAAGATTCAAGCACAGAGGCTTTGAATCCGCTCCATTATTCTCGGGGCGCAACATTCATTCCCCATGGAAGAGGACGGAAGTCTACCAAGGCGGGAAAAGAGTAATCAAAGTTACAGCCCGGCTCTAACGCACTGACGCTACTGCTCAGAGGCTCGAGGTGTAAGCGGGCCGGCAGAGGCAATGCGGGGCCTCAAGCGATGTGAGTAGGGCCCTGGGCATGAGCAGGGGTCGGCGGAGAAGCCAGGAGACCCGCCAAGAGGGAAGGAGTCGCCAGGCGACCGAGGGCGGAGTTGGGAAGGGTGAGGGGTGGCGAGTCGTCGCAGGCCCCGCCCCGGCCGGTACCAACTCACCCCTTACCGCCGGCCCCGCCAGGCTTCGGCCGCTTTTTGCGACGCTTGCGACCGGACTCAGACCCCCGGTCGACGCCGGCATCTGCCCCGGACAAGTAACGCTTCAGATACTCGGCCTTCGAAAGCGGCGGAGCTGCCGCCATGACAGCGACGAGGGCAGAGAGACGGGTCGGCGCTGGGGACAAAATTCCTCAACGCGTAAGGGACGCCAGCCACCCGAGGGGGCGGGGCCAGGGCCGGAAGTGGCGGAGAGTGCTGAGAACTGCGCGGCTGGCAGGTGCCCTCGCGGGGGATGCGCTCACCTTCGGGGCGCTCCACAGCCCTGGGACGACGCCACCGGGTTTCTTCTCTTCATCCACCCACCCACCCATCCATCCAACCGCAGCAAGCGCTGTTCTGTGAGGCCACAACCTGACCCAAAACACCCCGCCCCCAGAGGTTACCTAAACTGCAGACCACGGGCAAGAAAGTGGAGGGCCACAGGCTGCAGCGTAGCCGAGTTTGAATACTGGTTCCATAGCTGGCTAGCTGTACGACCTCGGGCAAGTTATCACAAAGCGGGGAGAATCCCGGCACCTAACTCGGAATGATCACAGGCTGAGATGACACTACTGTGTGAAGTGCGCAGAGCGTTGTTGGGCATATGGTCATCGGAACTATGTTCGTTATTCTTATAAGTATCTTCAAGTGGGGAGAATCTGCTCCACTAGGCTTCCAGGTACCTACCGTCTGAGAAGGGAAGCCAGGAAGTGCAAACCAACATAATTACTATGAAAAACGTAGTTTCTAAGACCTGTATAACTCTTCTGGTGTTATATTACAACTAGCTCTCAGTTATCTTTTGAAGGAAACTAAAATCTTGACAATGAAAAGGACCTGGATCTATTTTTAGCATAGCAAAAGAGAGAAACCAGAGAGAATGAATTCTAATACTCAGGTTTTGGGGGGGAAGAAAAGACTTTATTCTTGGCAGGGGTTTCAGAGCTTTACCTGAATTATCTCATTTAACCCTCACAATTCTCAAATCGTTTCAATATCACATTTTACAGATAAGAACTGAAGCTTGGCAAGATTAAGAAGTTGCTCAACTTCACACAGCCAGAACATGACTCTTGGGAGTAGAGGCTAGCAAAGTGGGGTGCAAGAGGTCATCCAAATTTCTTGAAATATCTTTTTACCTTATCATATGTTAGATTGTCACTTTTTTATCGTTTTCTTCCCAGCTTTATTAAGGTTATTTGACAAAAATTATATATATTCAAGGTGTACAATGTGATGATTGGATATAATTATACATTGTGTAATGATTACCAAAATCAAATTAATTAAAACATCCTTCACTAGACTTATTTATGTACTAGTTCGGTGGGGGGCACTTAAATTTGTCTTAGCAAGCTTCAAGTAAACAATACAGAATTATTAGCTATAGTCAATATGTTGTACATTCATTCCCCAGAACTTGTCTTAAAGCTGAAAATTTGTATCATTTGAGAGAGAAGTTTTAGTGTTACTGAAAACACAGACTTCTGACAGAATTTGCAGGATGCTATACACAACTACACAGAAGTGCAGACAATAGTTTCTTGGACCAGGAGTCAAAAAGGACAGTTTTAATACATTAGTCAAGCAGACAGGGCTATACTTCATAAATATACATTATCTGGGGGTAAATGTTTAAAAATTCTTTACTCATATAATATAAAACAGGCTTGGGGATCAGTCTTGAAGCATGAATTTTTACCCAGTGGGCCATGTTGAGGGGGTTGCAGTACAGGCCCAGAAAGGAAAGCTGGCTGGGACTCTGAGGGCTGGTGAGAGGACACTGGGCTGATAGGGCTTCACTAGGTGGAGGGCCCCAGGGGTACCCCCTACACAACCCTGCCTTGGCTTCTAGTCCAATTTGGTGTATCTCACACTGCACTGCACTGCACAGCCCTGCCCCACCCTGGTGTCAGCAGGCATTCAGAAAGCCTCACACCTCTCCAGTGAACACTGCCAGGATAGCCCTCTCAACTTCCACCCAGCCACTTTCTGCCCATTTGTTTTCTTCAATTCCACCACTAGCCATCCTACCCCGTCCCTTAGCCTGACAAGACCCAAGTGTCTCCATCCTATGCTGCAGGGCAGTTAAGCAGGATCAGATGCCAGTGCCAGTGGCCTGCTCTGAGCTTTGGCCTCTCTCTGCAGTTGTCTCTAATAGAACAAATACAGTCGGCCGGGCGCGGTGGCTCAAGCCTGTAATCCCAGCACTTTGGGAGGCCGAGACGGGCGGATCACGAGGTCAGGAGATCGAGACCATCCTGGCTAACACGGTGAAACCCCGTCTCTACTAAAAAATACAAAAAACTAGCCGGGCGCGGTGGCGGGCGCCTGTAGTCCCAACTACTCGGGAGGCTGAGGCAGGAGAATGGCGTGAACCCGGGAGGCGGAGCTTGCAGTGAGCTGAGATCCGGCCACTGCACTCCAGCCTGAGCGGCAGAGCGAGACTCCGTCTCTAAAAAAAAAAAAAAAAAAAGAACAAATACAGTCACTGTGGAGTTGAGCTCAAAATATTCAGAGCTCAGGTTTCAGAGTCTAGCCTGGGTTTGACACGTGCCTCTTAGAAACTCTACTTCTGGCCAGGCACGGTGGCTCACGCCTGTAATCCTTGCACTTTGGGAGGCCGAGGTGGGTAGATCACGAGGTCAGGAGTTCGAGACCAGCCTGGCCAACACAGCGAAACCCCATCTCTACTAAAAATACAGAAAGTAGCCAGGCATGGTGGCACGCACCTGTAGTCCCAGCTACTCAGGAGGCTGAGGCAGGAGAATCACTTGAACCTGGGAGGCAGAGGTTGTAGGGAGCCGAGATCATGCCACTGCACTCCAGTCTGGGCAACAGAGTGAGACTCCGTCTCAAAAAAAAAAAGCTCTGCTTCCTTCTGGAAGTTACCTAGCCTCTGTGAGGCTGTTCTGTCACCTGTAAAATGGGGATAATTTTATTTATCTTAATTATCCCCATTTTACAGACTAGGAAAACAAGCATTGGAAGTGCCAATACTAAACTGAGGTGAACACACAAAATAAGCAGTTTTTTTCTCTTCACAGTTGGAAACACTGCCATTTGCCTTAAAAAGAAGTGCGTAAAAAAAAGTGTTTTTTCGTTTTTTTTTTTTTTGAGATGGAGTCTCGCTCTGTCTCCCAGGCTGGAGTGCAATGGCGGGATCTCAGCTCACTGCATGCTCCGCCTCCCGAGTTCACACCATTCTCCTGTCTCAGCCTCCCAAGTAGCTGGGACTACAAGCACCCGCCACCATATCCAGCTAATTTTTTGTATTTTTTAGTAGAGACAGGGTTTCACCATGTTAGCCAGGATGGTCTCAATCTCCTGAGCTCGTGATCCGCCCGCATCGGCCTCCCAAAGTGCTGGGATTACAGGCGTGAGCCACTGTGCCCAGCCAAAAAAAATTTTTAATAGGAATAAAGCCAAGTAGTCTTAACCACCACTGCCCTAAATGTAAGCAGAGGCACCATTTTCTAAAGTATGCATCAGGCACATACCCCAGGTATACAAAGAAGGAAATAGACTGATGTTAGAATGAAAGTATTGCCATCATTAAAGCTTTCAGTTGGCCAAGTCAACTGCCCTTCATACTTGCTCCCAACACTCACCTCGCTCCTCCACTTACTCATCACGACACAGACGTACATTCAGTACCTACCTATATGTTCGTCCACAGGTCTAATGACTGAACATGGCTGCATTTCACATACTTGACCCATGAAAGCAGGAGGCGTGCCCTCACGCACAAGTAGCCAGGCATGGTGGCACGCACCTGTAGTCCCAGCTACTCAGGAGGCTGAGGCAGGAGAATCACTTGAACCTGGGAGGCAGAGGTTGTAGGGAGCCGAGATCATGCCACTGCACTCCAGCCTGGGCAACAGAGCAAGACTGTCTCTACTAAAAAAAAAAAACAAAAAAACAGAAGTTTGCAACACAAAGCAGTAAGGTTTGTGATACTAGTGTCCTAATAGGGTTTGATCTAGGATGGAGGATTTTAACAGATTTTATTAACCATGTGTCATATGCTAGGGCCTGTGGAGCAAGACTCAGTTAACTATATGTAAGCTCCCATCCTGACACACTTTATGAAATGAGAAAGGAGCTGAGAGATACTTCAAGAGAAGGGTATGAAACTGAATAATGCCTTGTCATCAAAGGGCAGGAAGTACCTTAGCTGGGTTATCCCGGTCTGGCATCTGGTCCTCAGTCTTTGCAAGTTCAGAAACTCAGGTCATCATTTCCTAGGTGGATTCTGGGAGATTGCCTCACATCAATCAAACTCACAAGAGGTTCAGTAGTAAGCCAGAGTGCCTTTTTTTTTCCTTCACAATGGAAAATGAACCTGATACTGCAGTTTATCTTAACAGAGCACACCTACACTATGGGGAAGTCTAGAGACCAAATGATAGATCAGAGGGTTGTCTGGTAAACTTAGATTCCCAAGCCAGCTGGAAACATATCTAGAGATAATCTCTTAGGGTAGAATAGTTGCCTGGGAGAAGTTTGCTCAAAGTACTGAAGCTTTATAGTTTGAATGAGTCATTTGCTAACCTGAGTCTCCAAACACCTTACTCTCGCCCTCACTTACAGAAAATTAGAGATACAGGTATGGAAGTTAGTCCCACATGATAGTAAGATGCCAAAGAGTCTGATACGGGGAGATGTCTGAAAGCAGAACTCTCAGAAACAAATTTAATAAAAAGGGAGGAGGCAAAGTGTGCAAATAAGAAAGATTCAAAGTGAAGGGAAAGCCAAAGGTACAGTATCTGGAGAGCCAAGAGAAGGGTTAAGAAGAGATGGTCCACTATCAAAAGTGACAGAAAGAGATAACCTTTTCCAACTGGAAAATCACTTGTGACCTATGAGAACAGTTTAACAGAGCAATGAGAGTAGATGTCTGATTGCTAAGTCATCTCTAACTCATTCTTCAGAGTTAAGTTTGCAACAGGCTGGGCACGGTGGCTCATGCCTGTAATCCTAGCACTTTGGGAGGCTGAGGCGGGCGGATTGCCTGAGCTCAGGAGTTCGAGACCAGCCTGGGCAACACAGTGAAACCCTGTCTCTACTAAAATACAAAAAAAATTAGCTGGGCATAGTGGTGTGCGCATGTAGTCCTAGCTACTCGGCAGGCTGAGGCAGGAGAATTGCTTGAACCTGGGAGGCAGAGGTTGCAGTGAGCCAAGATCATACCACTGCACTCCAGCCTGGGCAACAGAGCAAGACTGTCTCTACTAAAAAAAAAAAACAAAAAAACAGAAGTTTGCAACACAAAGCAGTAAGGTTTGTGATAACATCTTAATCAATGAACTGGTCTTTATTGAACAAATACCCTGCAGTCTGCACCGCAGGAGTCACCTTTTGTTTATGAGAGGTAGGAGACTACAATGCAAAGAGCACTGGCTGGGAAGTCCAGGGCCTGAGCAGCAGAGTGCTCACTGGTCCTTAACTTTCGGAACAACTGCAGATAGCCTCCTGTCTCTGAATGAATGTGTTTCAACATTTGTAACTGAGAGTGGGGCTAACTGATCAGACACTCCCACTGGCTCTAACCTCACAGCTCTAGCATTTGCAGTTCCCTCTGCCAGGAAATCTCTTTCCCCAGCTACCCACACAGCTCACTCCCTGACCTCCTCAGCTTTGCCCAAATGTCAAATTATCACCTTCTTGTTCAGAAAATCTTCCCTACTCCCGCTTTCCTTGCACAACCCAGCCCCTTCCCTGCTTTACATTCCTCCAGGACACTAGTCACCATCTGATGTACTGTTTTCCTCATCTGTTTACTGTCGTTTTTCCCACTAGACTTTAAGTTCCATGAAAGAGATTTATTTTGTCCTCTGTTCTGTGGTGTGCTTGGCATAACATAGATAAGCAAGCATCTGTTGAAGGAATGAATTAAATGCCAGCTGCAATCCCCAAATTACAGTGGATACACGGGAAAATTTTCTTTGGGAGGCTGAATTCTAACAGCATATCAACAAGGATAGGGTCAATATAGAGGCCAGTGCTGTTTGAAAGTCATCATTTCAATGGTAACTCCTTCACTTGTGCTGGACTCGGTCTCCCCTCAGGAGACTCCTTTCCTGTTGAAAGTCAGTATTTTATATACTCGAAACCAACAACCAAACTCCAGGTGTAACTTTATTCCACCTTCTCCAACTTCAGAGTTCTAACCTTAGAGGACAGAGCATTAAGTGGAGGGAGGGTAAGGACTTGCTATGAAAAAAGTGATAATGACATACCCCTGGTTCATTTCTGGGTTTCCTCCGAGGCCAATTCAAAACTTCCAAAATAAGGTCAAGTAACACAAGAGGCTCACACTTACATCACAAGCTGTTTAGAAAGTGTGCATAGATCTCTGACTCAGACCAGATGTCCTCCCCACCATGGGCAAGGGCTGGTGGAGAGGACACTCCCAGCCTTCTTCTGATACTAATAAATAACCTACAGAAAGAGCAGCACTGGACGCTGGCCCTTGAGCCCCCCACTGCTACCGTTGTGAAGCCAGGCCTCCCTCATAGCCCTCTGTCTTCATGTCATTGAGCCCTAGCTCCTCATTTTGGTCAAAGGTGCGCTTGTAACGCTCCACCTTCATCTCAGGATCATCTTCAGGTGCATACACATTCTGCAAGGTCAAGGACAGACAATCAGTGCCGCCGTGCCACTCCCCCTCCCTGCAGGCAGCTTCCAATTCCCACTTTCCCAAGAACATCATGAGTTTTGGGTTTTTCTTCTCATTTTTATTGGCCTCCAATTTCCCACGGCTAGACTGAACTAGTGGGTAGCAACAGAGCCCACATGCGCCAAGGGTGGAAGACCCCAGCCCTAGAATCAGGGAACGATCCACCTATTTTGTAATATCTGCACCTTCTTATAAAAAGTATAGCAATGGTCTTAATCTTGGAAGGAACTTAGAAGTTTTGCCTGACCCATGGTAAGCATTCAGTCAATGTTAAAGGCACATCAATCACCGGACTATCTCCTCAGTCAACTTAAAGCCTATCAGTTTCCTATCATGGCCTCTGGACGAGGCACCATTTCTCCTCACTCCATAATCAGATGTGCAAAATGAAAACTCCAGAACTGGGACAAGAGCTAGAATACAGAAAAAAAGGAGCCTCAGAGTATCCTTTTCTTCCCTTTTTTTTTTTTTGAGACGGAGTCTCGCTCTGTCGCCCAGGCTGGAGTGCAGTGGCCGGATCTCAGCTCACTGCAAGCTCTGCCTCCTGGGTTTACGCCATTCTCCTGCCTCAGCCTCCCGAGTAGCTGGGACTACAGGCGCCCGCCACCTCGCCCGGCTAGTTTTTTGTAATTTTTTTTTTAGTAGAGAGGAGGTTTCACTGTGTTAGCCAGGATGGTCTCGATCTCCTGACCTCGTGATCCACCCGTCTCGGCCTCCCAAAGTGCTGGGATTACAGGCTTGAGCCACCGCACCTGGCCCTTTTTTTCCTTCTTTACATACACTTAAAAAAAAAAATCCTCTCCCCCACCCCCCTCTATTCTCCCTTATGTATCTTCTAACTTCACCTCCTTGGTAAAAAGCAGTCCTTTTAGAATCAAGTCTTTCAGTTTCTAGGGAAATGATACATATTCAAGGAAGATCAGAAAATGTATCTCTATGAAACATCAGGGAAGGTCTACTATACCTGCAAGTAACTGTTTCCTGCTGGATCATCCATAATAAAGTGGGCCTTCATGTTACCTTCGATGATCTAAAGGAGAGAGAGAACACAGCAAGTAAATTTTACATAACCTCTGGTAAAAAGGGGCTATGTCTGCCAGACAAGAGCCAACCCAATTTATATTACAGAATCCCCAAAAGTTTTAAGAATTGGTGAAATTAGGTAGCTCTGAAAGTAGAGGGGAAAGGATCTAAAACAAGGACTGTTAGAAAAGCCAACATCAGCAAGCTGTGGACTGGGGGGTGCTGGCCCAGTTGAAGGTAGAGGGAAAGGAATCAAGAACAATGAGGTTAAATGAATGTAAGCTTATGGGAAACAGAATACATACACACCCCAGCCCCCTTTCCACAGCTCTCAGAACACTGCCTGCCAAGCCTTTACCCTCAGGCCAGGAAATGCAACAACCACGGAGTGGAATCTGACTAGCCCAAGAGGAAAGACCTAACAATTCTGACATTGGAGGCCACCTCAACAAAACAACTAAGCTAAATTCCCCTGTAATAAGCCCCATGTCAACAAGGCTCACCCCCTACTCAGGTCTTTAGTCAGCTACTTGTAAGAAGACAATGATTATCAGACATCTGAGCAAACATTAACATTGACAGATGGGAAATCAAATGGGAAAAAAGAGGATGCAAGGAGAATAAAATGTCAAAAAAGATCCAACATCCGTATCAAGAAGCGCTATATAAATTACATGCTCAAAAAATTTAAAAAATAATAATAATCTTCAAGAAGAAAAAAATATTAAATCCTTAAGACAGGATGCTATTTTTTAAAAAGCTCCTTGGAAAATAAAAGTTTTAGTGGAAATGAAAACGTCAATTGAAAGGTTGAAAAATAAAGTTGAGGGAATCTCCCAAAGTGAACAAAAAGACCAAGAAACCAAAAATAGAACAAAAAAAAAAAGTAAATTATAGAAGACCAGACAAGTAAGTCTAATATCTAAAATCCAGGAGTTCTCAGAAAGGACAGAAAAAAAAATCAGAAAAAAGATAATCTTCAATAGAATCATTCATGAAAGCTTCTTAAAACTGAACCACATGAGTTTTCCAGACTGAAAAGATCCACAGATCCACCAAGTGCTTAGCCCAGTGGGTAAAAATTGACCCACTCCAAGGCACATCCTGAAATTTTTTCACATCAAAGAAGACAAAGAGATCACAAGACTAGGTCACATATAAAAGACCAGGAATCAAAATGGCTTCAGACTTCTCAACACCCAAACTGGAAGACTGTAATGCAATGTCTTTGCCAAACTGGAAGACCGTAGTGCAGGGTCTTTGAAAATTATTTCTATCCTAGAATCGTATTCCCAGCCAATAATCACTTTAGTGTGATAACAGAAGAAAGAAATGTTCAGACGTGGAAGGTCCCAGAAATTTTATTTCCCAGGTGCTTTGTCCCAGGAAGCTACTGGAGGAGATGCTCTAACAAAATAAGGGAGAAAAACAAGAAAGAAGACATGGAATACAGAAAACCAGAATAGGGCCGGGCACGGTGGCTCACGCTTGTAATCCCAGCACTTTGGGAGGCCGAGGCAGGCGGATCACGAGGTCAGGAGTTCGAGACCAGTCTGGCCAACATAGTGAAACCCTGTCTCTACTAAAAATACAAAAAATTAGCCACACGTGGTAGTGTGCACCTGTAATCCCAGCTACTCGGGAGGCTGAGGCAGGAGAATTGCGTGAACCCGGGAGGCAGAGGTTGCAGTGAGCCAAGATTGCGCCACTGCACTCCAGCCTGGGCAACAGAACAAGACTGTTTCCAAAAACAAAAAAAGAAAAAGAAAACCAGAAGAATGCCCAACACGATGGTTAGATGTTCAAAAAGTGGCAAGACATGAGCATGCAGCCTCTTGTTCACTGGACCCTAAGTACTGACTGGCCAGTGACCTCTTACCTGGTCCATCTTCTGGCTAAACTCCTGCAGTCTCTCTTTCTGGCAAGGATTGGAACTGTCACCCAGTGTGAAAGGATTTTTGGTCACCTGCAATAAATGATATCCAAATTGTGTGAATACTGGCTTTATATTTGTTAGGCCTGACCATAAACTACGCAGGGGGTGGCAGTGGGTGCCCAGTCAGGGAAACCTGGTTTCCATTTAGACCATACCACCTTTCCAACCAAGGCAGTCGCTACTAGAAGTCTATGGGATAATGTGCCAAGATAACAAAACTGGCAATGTAAAACAAAAATCGAAACATGTTCTTAGAATATGATCTCTAATACTAATTTGGAGAAGAAATGCAAAGAAAAAGTACAATTTACAAATACAAAATGCCCAACAGAGAATCAAGTGAAATAATTCATCAAGAAGATAAATATTTGGGCTAAGTCAACACATGTATGTTTTTTATGTTGGGAAGTTTTAGGTGCTTAGAAGGACCCTCATCACCTAACTTTCCAGTAAAATAAATGACTTCTCCAAGACCACAAAATAACTATGAAGTCCCAAAGTTAGGCCTGGAATTTCCATTCAACATTTCCCATAAACTTATCTTCACAATCCAAAATAATATTTGTCTCTTAACAATCCAAAATAATATTTAAGTCTCTTAAACCAGCTTTAAGGCAAAGAAACCCACAGTTACCACCACCGAAAACTAGGATGTTTGAAGTCTTCCAGTCCTTTTTCACACAGCCAAATTGCTCAAAGGTGGTTTACACACTACTCAGGTGACTCACCAGTTCTCGGATG